TGGCGGCGGGACGAGGTCAGGATTGGCCCCCCGGGGGCAGAGAGGGAACCCGGGAGCTCCCGACGGACAAACCTTCCCCTTCCCCTCCGCGCACATCCGCGGGCGCTCGGTCCTCCCTTTAATCCCGCCGGTTTGGGTGAAAAGAAATAAGTTTTCGGGGCCGGTCGGCGAAAAATAATACCGCCACTGAATTTTTGAGATAAAAACTTCCTGCCGATCCTCGATACGGAAACCCTTCCTGCCGATCCTCGATACGGTGGGTTCGGGTTGTTTTTCCCAGAAGACGGGTAAAATACACTCTACACCTCAAGAAATTTGCTCATCCTCTTCCAAGAGCTTTGGAGGAGGCACTTGCCTGGAGGAGAAGGAATTAAAATAAAAATTGCGCGCGCGCACCCAAAACCCGAGGAACAGCTCGTTATTTCCCTGCTGAAGTTCCGCGGGCGCGGAAGCCGAGCTCCCCCGGAGCGTGACCCCCCCCCAGGAACACAAATCCAATGAATTTCTACCTTTTCCCACTTATTTCTTCACACCCCCGTTAGGAAATGGCAGTGGGAATCGCTTGTTTCTCTTCTCCTTGCTCGTTTATCCATTAACGCCCTGCCCGCAGCTCGCTGGGTATTAGGTCAGCAGGCCGTGACGTCACTCCTGTATTACCCTTGACCGTGACTAGGCGTTGTTTGACCTTGACATCACGAGCTGCGGGGATAATAAGCGAGGGGACCCTCACCCTTGATCTTCCCCTCACCAGCCAGCCCCAAGCAGCTCCCGCTCCTGTTTACAGATAAACAAGGTGTTATTTGAAGTCTAGACAGGCGGGCTAATGGCCAACAATAAAGCCCTGGAAAGGAAGTTTCCCAAGTTTAGCCTTTTCTTTCCTTTGTATCGAGGACTTTGAATAACTTCCCAACCGCAGCCTTTACGGTAAAATCCCGGAGGAGGGATTTCCCTCGCCCTTCTCTTTTTTTTTTCCCCTGCCATTTTCTTCCCTTTTTTTTTTCCTTTTGTTTTTTTTTCTTTGTTTTTCTTACCTCGCTCACATTTGCTTTTTTTTTTTTTCCCCCCTAATGCATTTTTAAAGAATCACTTCCTAATCTGGAGGGGGAATTCTGCTCTCGCAGCCCCGTGCTCAGTGCAGTGGTGAGTATAACTCTTGCTGGTTAACTTTCTATTTGTTATGGAAGCGCCTGGTCTTAAAAAGAGACGA